CACAACATGACATTATGTTGGTCTCTTTATGGTTTGGCTCTGGGAAAACATCAGTGCTGCATAAGAACTACCCTCAATGACCTGCAGGATCCTACTGTGAATACAAAGTTCAACTTTCCTGTTATGGTGAAAAACTAGTTGCGTTTTCCTGGTAACCCCTTGAACCACAGTGTTCACTATTATATTAAAACAACTGCATATCCAGAGTCCAGCTTGTTCCAACAGACACTAAAGGACGCAAGGATATTCATATAGTTATGAAGTGAAATTCTCACAGACGTCTTTAACATTGCTATGGGTTAAGACATGTAATATTTGTCCAAAAATCTTTGAGTGGTAACTTGATTTTTTATTTATTTGATGTTTTGTATGAACAGCAGGTGCAACATGCAGTTGCTGCTGGGTCTGCTGGGGTGTGTGAGTTTTTAATTGATGCATTTGCTATGTTTTACTTATGATACCTTTAGGCAGGCCGTCATGCTAAATTATGAGTTATTACTCAGGAATGATAGTTCTGGTTTAGGAGGTAAAAGATAATTAAAATAAATGAGTGATATTATAAATAAAGTTAAGAAATAATATTTATTTTTTTATATTTGGCTGATTTGAGATGACATTTTAAATACCCTTAAACATTTTAATTGATTAAAATATACAAACACATTCTACGTGTAGGTAGCATGCCTTTGCAGTTTAATGTTGGACCTCACTGCCTTCAAAAAATAATATAATAATAATACTGTAGCAGTATGAAGTTGAATCATTATTTTATTAGTTATAACTCACTTGACTTTTTCTTTATCGCAGTGAACAAACTTGCCTACTTTTGTAAATAACTTAACTTATCTGATATGCTTTGCCTCTAGGAGGGTTGTGCACTGTTTATTCATGAGTTGGCATCAACATAAAGAGGTAGAATAATGAGCAAAAACATTAAAATTGAATATTTGTGAAGGACATGGATGACAAGGATGATTCTTATTCTCATTTGGTAGGGAATAACAGTGTTCTAACACTGCTTACAACGCCCTGTATATTACCAAGAGATCAATAGCACTTGAGCAGAATGTCATTATGGTTATTAGGACTGCTTGTCTGTATGCTGATGAGGCATGAGGACATTATGCAGAGTGGTGTGGGAGCTCGTGCATATGTGTGTGAGTACATGAGGGTACTCGTAAGCCTATCTGCTTGTATTTCCACTGTTGCTATAAGGTGTATTATGCATGTGATATGTGTGCGGAATACTCATGATAAGTGGTATACCACTGATGAATGCTGAAGTTTCAGTGAGAGCAGTTTCAAGGTGAGAAGGAGAGAAAGTGATGGAGAGGGGAGAGGGAAAGGTGAGCAGAGAGATAAGGGAAACACAGACAGTGAGAATAACTTACAGAAGGATAGACAAAATCAGCAAATGGTTGCTACAGCATACACAGCTAAATGTTGCTACATGTAGCTAAATGTGCAAGCACACCTCTCTGATCCATCATATGTTACACTGCATTCCAAGTTAAAGGATGAGGATAAAATATTCTATATTTTTCTTATTGTCAACAAATCCTATAAAAGAAATTACGAAAGCCTAAAATGAAATGATCCTGCTAACAAGAACTGCCTGCCTCTATGTCATAGGTTGTATGTCAAACTATTAAAACACATCAGTGACACATCGTATCAGTCCACAGCTGAACATAGTCCCAGACAAATGCGCTATTTGTTCTCTTTGAGTAATATTTAGTGAAACAACTACAGCTGTTTTTGGAAATGACTTTGCTATCTTTGCAAATAAAGCATATATTAGTAATCTGTTATCAAAGATTCATATTATCAGTGGAAACAAATAGGTCTGGGCTGAGTGCCACGGACAGGGAAGGGAAGTCTAACTAAACTGTCGAAAGAGACAATACTGCGTTGTTGGGCTTTTAATGGAATTTGTTTACAATATGCAACGTTCAGAATAACCTTAAAGTGAGTGATAAAACATGCTGATAAATGACAATAATAGCCAAGGAGAAGTCCTACATCAGGACACCTAGTAATGTATGTATGTGTTCTTATGCATACACTACAGTTGAGAAAATAAATAAATAAACAATCAATTATTAAAGTTTGTTTGTAGTCAGAGGTAAGGCCCTTGTCAGTGAGCTTTAGTATGTGATGGTGTGCATCAATGAGCAATACTGTTAGGAACAGGTAACCGACAGTTGATTATCCATTGCTTATTTTTAATGGACACCTGCCAGCCAATAAGAAACAAGTATTTTCTTTATCTATGGCACAAGTTATAGGGATTCACAAGCAAGTCCATTACCTGTTGTTTACCAGTCTGGTTGCTAGAAACAGATCTATCTTTCTTCACAAAAAAGAAAACAAAAAACACGCAAATGTTTGCTATCAAGAGAAAAAAAAAAGGCAGTTTCAGAAGAATTTCCAATACTGTTATTGAAACAATTCTAACTATTGGTATGTGACTTGTTAGCCTGAGAATTAATAACTACTTAAAAAAGTTTGGTCTGATCTTCACATTTAGTCCACTAAGTTACATACCAACTTCAAAATAGTTTTGTGTTTTGCTAAGTTTTTACACTCCATAAGTACCTGATATAAATGCGTCGTTGGAGTTTAAACCAGCTGACAACAAAGGAAAGAGAAGGAAAGAGGACAAAAGACGCAGAAAGGTAGAAGGGAGAGACAGACTGAACTAAATAAGAGAAATAGGCTGAGAAAGACGAGAGCACTGGGGAAACTGAAAGTTCAAAGCGGGATATGCATCGAGGCAGATGGCAGGGTGGAAAGTAAGGAGACTGGGTGTAGGACGCGAGATAAAGATAGAGACAGACTGCTGGAGAGTGAGAAGAGGACGAGAGCGTTAACTTTGATACGACAGGAGAAAGATGAGAAGAAGTTAAAGGGAGAGGACAGAAACGAAACGGAGAGATAGGGGCAAGGAGCAAAGGCTAGAGAGATGAATGGATATTGGAAAAGACAGAGGTAGAGAAACAGTGATGTAACCCGAGAAGATAAGAGGGATGGGATGTGGCAGCGGAGGTGGGGGGCAAAAGAGGAGGTCAAAGAATCAGTGCTGTGTTGAGACTCTCAAGGACATTCACAGGAAAAAAGGTCATTTCAAATAAATATTCTAAGGGGCATGCTTTTCATCCAACTTCTTTTTTTTGATAATAAATGCTCCTTTCTGATGACATCAGTTGGAAGAGGATTATGATTTCACTCACTTTGACAGTGTAATGCCACCTAAAGGTGGTCAAAGGAATTTTAGGCTTGGGGAAGTTATTAAAAGATTTGAATATTATGTTCTCTCACTTTGACAACATAGTAGATTTAATAAGTAACACTCTGGCATGTCTTGTAGGATTATGATTTTTTTTTTTTTCAGAACCTGCATGAATGTTCACTGACTTACACGTATACTCTAGGAAAGTATCTCCTCTCTTCACTTACTTGTCACATAAAGCACAAGGGCAGCAGCAGCATCATCATAAAAGCTAACATCAAAGTCAAAGTTTTTTTTTTTTTACTAAGATGGAAATAACTTTTTATGTAAATAAAGTCACACATCCGTTCAAAGTTGACAGAGGAGGAGATCAAAGGAAATTGGCATTTCTTGCCACTCACATGCATATGCACACACATTATTTGAACTCGAATTGGGGGTGGCAAGCATGGAGATAACTGGGATGGACAGAAGAAGGGGAAAAAAGGCAGAAAAAAGATAGATGACATGAATGAGAAACAGAGGTGCTGTGGAGGTTGAGGGGAAATGAGCGGCAGACAGAGAGGAAGACAGAAAGAGAGAACAAACAGTGTCAGGGTAATGGGGACAGGGATCTCGGCCTACTGAATATAGATGGCTCTGGTATGGGACATGAAATATATATGAAACACTAGGTTGACATCTGTATCAGCTGCGTTAAGAGGCATGTCTGAGGAAGCCAGCTCCAGTGGAGAACAGCAAAATGAGAGGCATTGTATGAAGAAAGAAAAGAGGGAGGGAACAGAGAGACAAAGGAAAAGACAGGGAAAGAGACATCAGACCAAGACAAGGATCTTGACAGCATTTGATCCCAGGCCAATGGGGGCACTTTTTTTGTCTTTTCTTCTTGACGAGGGCTTTTCCTAAGATGGGGATCAATATTTTATTGTTGTTTCTCGTTGTGCTGTTGATCCTCAGTGTTTAAGTGTTAATCTGAGGTCTTCACTCGGCGTGGTCGTGACAGGGCCCTTGGGACTTATAAACAGAGCAGGGCTACTAACCCCAGTGTCTTGGCTAAAACTCCCATTAGGCCCTCATATGCCCCTTATCCCCCGGGGTCACGGCCCCTACAACTTTTCTGAACCCATGCACAAAGGCAGTGTTGGTGTAAGGGGTGAGGTCATTGACAGAAGGATAAAAGCAACAAGTTAGAAAAGATTTTTTGTTTTTCACTTTAGCTACATTTTTTTTTTTTTTACCTTAAAAATAGCAATTTTCCATCTTCCCTAAGTCTTGTGTGAAACTGTATCATACTTGCTGTGTGGAACAAATTACTTTCTTTTCCCAGTCTTTACCCACTATGAAGGGTTGGTAATATTTGGAAGAAATTAGAGAAACGGTAAAATGTTTCCCCTTTGTCATTCCCAGCTACTGTATAACCCAAATTGATTGAAAAAGATTGAACTGAAATATTTCAAATAATAATTATTCTCGTTATCCATATTCAGTTAATTATACGCTTTGAAAACAGTTATCAAGTAATATTTCTACCTTTTGCTCCTGTCTGTTTCTTGTTGCTAGCAACCGGTATGATAGAAAAAGCCGAAATGTCCCCACACAGACTATTTAGCTTGTTGCATATCCTGATGTGACTATTGACCCTTTGTCTGTCTCCAGTTGCTAGGAGCCAGTGTGCACAGAGGGCAGTAATTTAACCACGCAGATATTTCACTTGTTATTAGCCGTTGATATCACTAACACTTAATCTTTTGCCTCTGTCTGTTTCCAGTTGCTAGGAACCAGTATGAGCGAATGAGCAGTGATGTCACCATGCAGTGCGGCTCCCTGGACAATGACGCATCAGTGTCATGGAAGGTGAACGGGACAGACGTGAAGGCCCAGCACCATCTAGAGGGTCCCAGACTGATGCTGACCGGAGTGGACCTCAGCCACAACGGACTGTACAGCTGCTTTCAGAACCCGGACGGAGAGAGACGCGACACCATCTTCCTCCACATCGGCAGTAAGTAGCCAGACAATTGCCCGCCGAATAATATTTCAAATAAGACACGATGAATCTTTAATCATCCCAAAGGGGACACAGTCATTGCAGCAGTAAAGAGTGAAAGGAAAAAGCAAATAGAAATGACCGCGGTGCAATTACAACTCCAACAAAAATGCATGAATTATTAATGAGAAGTTTTATGAGTTTGAACTTGTATGTACTGTATGTGCAAAAGCAAAGACAAAAATAATACACAAAAATACAGAACCTAACAGCTATAATTAAGGGTTGTGACTTCAACCACCATGAAAATGTAATGATTATGTTATTGCTGTTATGGCAGTCCTGCTGGTTGTTGTACCAGCTATGTGTGGGTTTCAACGTAGCTTATTGGACGTAGTGGGGAGGCTATGCTGTAACTCGAGGCGTTGCACCATACAAGTTACTGACAATGTAAGATACAACTTAAAATGTACACCTCCTCTCAGCAGTTCTTTCATTATCATGTTGTCAGTCGTTGCAAAGATGGTTGGGACTTTGATTCAAACTGGGTGCACATTGCCTTCAACAAACTACATTCATGTACATTTACTGCACCAGCGGCAAGCAGGCTCAGTATTTCTCTGTGCAGCTACTTTTATTAGACCTAGGTACTAGTGTGATGCTGTTTGATATAGGAATTTCTGCTGGCTCCACTTGGTTGCTTGTTACAAGAAATTGTAATTTTTTAGGCGTTGATTTCAGCAGGATCTTTTTACCAAGATGGAATAATTGCTTTCTTAAAAACTTTAGCATTGCTGTTGCTCTAGGTAGCAGGTGTTCATTCTGGTAGCAGTTGTTGAGCTTGCTAGCTTAAGAGGGGGAGGGCATGTGATTGGCTGAATGGTGAGAGGGTGGAGACCACTTAAAAAGTAAAATACAAATGTTTTATGAAATAAAAGCGGACCCTTTGAATAATATATGAATTATTATTTGTTTGTTGTTTTATTTATATATTTTCTACAATTTATTCATGTGATTATTTTTTCACACTTTGGAGTGGCTTTTAAACATATTTACATATTGCACAGTAATACTGTTTAGCTAACTGACAATTTTAATAGTAGTTAATATTTCAAGGGCAGTTTCATTTCAATTTTAAACACAAATATAAAACTTGAATTGTCATGATAGCAGTCCTTACAGTAGGACCGGCTGCCAGCTGACAAGCTCTAATGATTAGTTGTTAAA